AGAGAGAGAGAGAGAGAGAGAGAGAGAGAGAGAGAGAGAGAGAGAGAGAGAGAGAGAGAGAGAGAGAGAGAGAGAGAGAGAGAGAGCAATAAGAGGAAATTGATGACAATTAGTATTTACTATCGTACACCTGTGCATATAGTGCTACAAATTGATTGGGAGGAAGTACAAAATAGAGACATCATGTACATGTAGTCCCTCATACAAGACCATCTACATTATTATGTACATGTACATTCTATACATGAACACACAATAGTGTAACTCACGTAAAACAGTAATGAGAGCAGTGTCAGACAAAACACTCCTTCCAATAATGAGCTCATTGCTAGCATTACACTGGTAGCTCCCGGCATTCTCTAGTTTTAGTTCTCCTATGACGAGAGTACTGACTGTTTGACGCTCTCCTCTGAACGTTGATATGGAAATAGCGTCAGAGCAAAGGATTTCAGCCCCGTCTTTCAGCCAGGTGATGTTAGGAGCTGGCCAGCCTCTGGAGGAACATGATAATTGTACAGTGCTTAGTATTATATCAGTGGTATTAGTAGGAGAAAGTAATATGGCAGGTGGAACTAAAAGAGAAAGAGAGAGAGAGAGAGAATTATAAGATTAGGAGAGAAGGAGAAATAGGAGAGAAGTGTGAATTAATTAGAGACGAGATGAAAAATGAGACAAGAGAGAGAAAGAAGGATTGTATTGCAATACAGTATAGCTTACACGTATAATTATAAGTATTAGTTACAAATAACTTAGGAGTACGTGAAGGAAATATTAGTTCTCGTATTAGTTACATGCAGTAAATATTTGGAAGCAAAGATGTACATATGCACATTCATATACTTCAACAAGCTCTTTTACAGGCGGCATGCAAATAGGAAGCAAACTATAGTGACAGCGTTATATCATAAACGATACATCACAAATAAATAAATAAATGTGTGTGTTTAGCTGTGGCTGTTTAGGCATAATCAAAATACCATCACAAAGGTGCAAAAATAATAATAAAATAAATTTACAAAATTCTTATTTTATCCTACCTTGTACTTCTACTGTAGCAGTGACTGATGTTTCCCTATTAGAAGAATCCACCACAGTTAGAGTATAATCAATGGCGTCCGCTTCAACGAGCTCAAGTATCGTTAATGAAGCATATCCATCAGCAGTGGATGGATTCACCTCATTCATAACAGTGTACTTCTCGTTGCTGTTTATGCTTAGCTTTGTATGGCCTAGGGTCCATTCAGCAGTAAGTGAAGAGCCATTACCAGTAGCATCTATACTGGCGTTTATGGTAAGATTGCTGTTCAAAAGGCCGCGATAAGTCTGCCCCGAGAGAAGAGTCACTGTGGGCTCTAGAAAATTAAGGAAGAGCTAGGGCTGCAAGACTCCATCCCTTACCTTGTCCGCTAGCAGAACTAAGTAGAAGAAACGTACAGAGCAAAGGGACGAGCGGAGAGAGAGCCAACGTGCGAGCCATCTTCGGACAAGCCTTTGAGATGACGCGGAAAATAATACAGAAAATACGGGTATTGTTTTGGAAAGCGCGAGGTTATGCGGAGATGA